GTGTTTCTAGACTGGGTGCTGCAATACCAGCACTGTATTTTAACTAATGAGAGTGGTGTGTCTCTGACATAACCTGTTCGCCTCACGCATGGTCATTAACGCTTAAGCACACGCATTGGTTTTGACTCTCTGTTTCTAGAGGCAAATGCATTGCTGGGGAGGGTTTTACACAGCAAGGTGCACTACTGGTGCCCAAGTTTGTACATCTGGGATGAACCGCCTTTTGCTTTGTGTCCTGTGCTCAGCATTGTTTATAAGGGCTTTGTTCAGCCAGATTCAAAGAAATGGGGAAAAAACCCCCAAAATTCCCTATAAAATAAACCCCTCGATAATTACAGCACTAATATTTTTATATATTACTCAGTCTTCCCCTAGTAAACATCTCCACTGTACTGGTTTCCATTAATCAGTTAGCTCTCCTGAGTAATATCACAGCATTTGTCACCTTTCTCTGGATTCACAATATTGAGGCACTCAAACAGGCCTAATCTTGCCTCATGAAGACTTCTTTGTTCTGCCTGCTAAAATGTCTTGTAATTGTGCTTAGGATGTCCAGATGGCTGGCTGATACTCCAGCTGATAGGATTATACCTTTTACCTCTCCTAGGGCCATCTGTTCCCTTTAACTCGCTAAAACCCTGCAGCCTGGATTCAGTTGTCGTTATTGCATAAACCTAACAGCATTACAGGCACTTGGCATGCAAATCACTTCTGTGCTGCAGGCCTGGTGCTGGGACAGGACTTGCTTAAGGTTTAAACAGTGGAGGAGTCATTTATAGGGGGGGAGAAAAAAAGTGACAAGGCAAAAAAACCATTAAAACTTAGTTCTCCTCCGCTGTGCTGGGAGGTTTAACAATTGTCTTTCCTCCAGTTGTATTCAACTACTGTAAATAATTTGCCGTGCTTTTTGTGAGCTCAAAGGATTCAATGGCAACCTTCCACAGTAGCAGCAGGGGGAATTAGTTTACTTGGAAACGATCTGCGAGTGTGTGTATATACTGCTGGTGAATATTAGATGATTGGATAATGAGGTGTTAGCAAGGAGAGGCTACAGAGAAGTAAATATCTGTGGTTTTCGGCGGGCGCTATTCTTTAAAGAATGTGTTCCTAATGCAAAGCATACCATCCGAGATGGGAGATACGGCTTGATGGGGACGTCACTGACTTCAAGCATGACATAAACCACCATCATTTTTCGCAGGGTATCGGTATCTAGTGCTAATACCCTGACCAGAAGGGAACAAAGAGTTTCAAGTAAGCAGTGTTACGATTTAGGGAATTTTCTCTGCAGGTGACACCATCCCTGTTGTAAGAGGCTGAAGCTTATTCTGGCTCCATTGAAACCCTGAGAAGTTGAGTGGCTGATTCCAGCAGGAGCAGAACCTCTTGTTTTCCAAACATTGGTGAGGCTTATGGGGAGCACAGCCCAAACCGCACAGGTGCTGAGCACCCCCGAACTCCACCAGCTCCCAACATGGAACATTCGATACCCCAGCTCTGCCACTATCCACATCCAAGGGCATTTTGATTCTCTGTGTTACAGGAGTGTGCACTTGGGGTTATTTATTTCCCGTAATTGTTATAAAAAATGGGACCTTAAGAAGCAGTGCTAAGATTTTCACATTCATTTGCGACGGTGCAGCTTACTTGAATAGGTGTTTATGGGAGGTTAAGCAAAGAGGATTTGGCACTCTATTCTTAACATTTAAATAAAGCAAATCAATTACCATATCACAAAAGAAAGGAGCTATCGGTTAGTGACATTTTTTGTAGGTTTTCTGTAGCATGGAAAAGTGGCCTTTATTTTTCTAAGTGATATTTTCTGCTTAGAGTCAAATTCTTTTCATGCAGCTTACAAAAATAAATACTTGTATTTTGCTAAGATCATAATAGCTCATTAGAAGAGGCTGAATTTGGACCTAGACTAAAACCTAACACCACAGGGCTGAGCATGCTTACTTGAACCTATAATGTTGCTAGTTCTCGCTCTCTGGGGAAGGAGAGGACTAGGGGAGAGGATTCAGCCTTCTTAATTGTGAACCTCATTAGTGACGGTTGCTAGGCAAAACACACACCTACTTTCAGTGCATATGAAAGAGATAAACAATACGTCATAGACCATAATGACTCTGGTGCTCCGGGCGACCTTTAATTATTATATTTTTGTTCTCTTCTACCTTAGTTATTAATGCAGAAAAACAAATTAGTTTTGTGTGTGTAGACTGCAGCAGATTTGGAAATCGCTTTCCATGTTTTGAGGTCTAGAGCGTATTTTCTTCTGATAATTGTGGCTTGCCTCATTCATTTCTCTGCATGCCCATTGGTAAATACTATTTGGAACCTAAAATGACAATGATTGTATTAGCAGCTTAGTATTCTGTTATGACTTTAATTAATTTTATTAGTGTAAAAAGCCATGATCCTGTCAATATGTTAGTAACAACTGGCACAAGGAGTCCAGTGGAAACTGATGTACATCAAGTCACAGTGGTTTTGAGTATTCTAACTCTTGAAGAACTGGAGATGTATTTGACCCCTATGCATTTAATTTTTGGTTAGCTCTTTTGGTTTCCATCTGAAAATATTCTGGTCTGGTCTGATCTGGTCTGGTCTGATCTGGTCTGGTCCGGTTCAGTCTAGTCTAGTCTAGTCTATCCTATTCTATTCCATTCCATTCCATCACATTACATTACATTCTAATTTTATTTAATATCAGGTTACCTGCAAGCTGGTTTGTATTTTATGTTGTTGTATTTTACAGTGCGAACCAAGCGATATTTAAATCTAAATGATTATTTGGGGCTGTGTGGGAGAATAAATACATGTGTGCACATGTACGAGCACAGCTGTGATTGTGTGCGAGTGATTGGGAGGCTGATGGGCTCCAGAAAGATAGCATTTCACAATTCTGGATTTCCAGAGCCACTTTCCATTCTCCTCTTCATCTCAGCCTATCTTCTTTTAGCAGTTCAGGCAAGAAGTCAATCACATTGAGTGAGTCTGAAGAAAAACATTTTATGCTGTTTTTCTCATACAAACCCCCTCCTGCCGTAATCTGCAGTAAGGCCCAGCCACAGGAAATTGACCTCACAGTAAATTCTTTACAGATTCGGTCATGTTTTTACCATCCACTTAAACTTGCATACATAACCTGAGACTGTACCTCTGGATCAAGGAATATGACAAGCCAAAATAAAATCAAGTCAAATTAAATAGCAAGAAAAAGCTGCAAGCAAAACAAGACTGGGAAAAAAAAAATAGAAAAAGATGAAAAATTGGTTGTGACTGCAAAACTGTAAGCATTAAATAAAGAAAGAAGTCAGAAGCAAATTCAGAAGCGCCGTACTCTAGTTGACAAGGGCTGAGAAATACTAATGGACTTTTTTAATGGGTGGTTTGATGGATGAGAGAAGAAATTATGTAAAAGTAAATGTCGCAGTGCATCAACATAAAGTATGGTGAGAAAAAACAACAAAAAAGAATGGGAAAAAAAAAGGAAAAAAAAAAAAAGCATTGCAAATAAAAAAAAAAGACATGTAAATGTGTGCCTACCATTTTCCAGATAAGAAGGGGCCGTACCTTCTGAGGGGTCAAGGCGGCGAGCCCGCCTCCCGTGTTTGGAATTGTTGTGTACAAACATGTTGTCTGAGACAGCCAGCACGTGGCCATCCACATTGACTGTTGTTGATACAACAACCTGAAAAAAGAAAACAAAAGGCAAAACTGAAAACACCCTGCACGTCCTCACAAGCCTAGACACAGCATCAAGACCGTCTTTTAAGCTAAAGCACCACAGCCCGTCACTTTTCGCCTCAAACGAAGTGAGTGACAACTATGAATACATCTTTGTTGATGTGGCTAACACTGGTGATTTTTAACTCACAATTGTTTCTCTTCAGAACCTGCTACACTAATTAGAGTTTAATCTCCTATTATGCTAACAAATGAATTCAATTCAGGGAAATATTCTTCTAGCCATTAGTTTCAGAAACACCCCTCTAGCCACTCATTTTAAAAGCCACTGTTTTGATTGATCTGTTGATATATTGATTAGATAGTTTATCTAATTAAAATTTGTTCACTTGAGACTGTCTTCAAATGAAGGGTTGTGAGGATTCCAAATGAAAAAGCTTAATAAATCAGGAAGCATCGTAACTCCCCGTTTTTTTCTTCAGTAAATGATCTCCAGGTCAGTTTTACAATTACATTTAATGTCTGATAATGAACTTTTTTGCATCTGAAAAGAACGAGTTGAATATGAATAGTGAAAGTGTTTTCAATCCATGAAAAGTATCCCTTCTCAAGTTCATTTGGATGGTGATTGACCCTGGTATGTCAATGGAATTTCCTCCTTTATTTTGAGTGAAAGGCTCCTATTCTTGTGTCCAGGTTCAGAGTCCGGCCATAGAAGAGATGATGGATAGGGCCTTCTTTGGCTTCCAGCTGCTTCTCAGTAGAAAATGGAAAAAGAACATATGCAAAATGCACAACCTTCCCGATAAAAACACCTACACAATGGAGTTGTGAAACTCCTTCCGGAAACGATATTGCATGAACACAAGCCAAAGAGGAAACCCTGAGATGCGCCTGTGTTTGTGCGGAACGTGGCTTCGTAGGTTGATCCCTATTATCCCAGATAGACATTTACATCTTATTTTAATACTCCAGCATGGGCCCTGTGGTTTGGGTTCCAGGTTTTCTATATGATCACTGCAGTGTTTTCTTTGGGGTTTAATGTTAGTAGAGTCCTTAAAGTCATGGCTAAGTCTGGCCTTATCAATGCTATTGGTGACAGTGGCAAAAGCTGGTACAAATTTTAGCTTTCACCATCCATTTACTTTACTTTTGGATGTAACAGAAATGATTTCCAGGGCTCTCACACCAACTCCTGAGCACTTAATGAACAAAAACGGAAGGGGAAAAAACAGCATCCTTTTACACAGAGCTGGTCCAAGGCATCAGAAGAAATTTCTTGTCTGCTTCTATGTTTTGGATCACCTCTGATCCTGTTTCTTATTCACAACCCATAATTAGCTTTCAGCTATCACAGCACCTTTCCTATGTGTCCCGCCTCCTCTGAGACAGCCATCTGCGGTACCCTTCGGAACAGCCCGAGGGCAGCTCTCTGCCAGGCTGCTCTGCTTCCCTAGCTTTCTCCTCCCAGAAGTGGACACTTTCACTCTTGTCAGCACCCACTTTGGAGAGAGATGAGGTCTCACACTTGCCGTGGCTGCAGAGCTGCTGCCAGGCCACCGGGATGCCCACATTCGCCTTTAGTGAGGTTCACAGACTTTGAGAAATATCACAAAACACACAAGTGTGATTTTCAGCACAGATTTCTGGATTTGGTTCCTAGAGCACAGTATATTAAAAAGGCAGAGAAAGGTGTATATAAAACTGACAACTATTTTTGTTCTGTCATGTATATGTAGGTCAGTCACCAAGGGAAAATACTGTAGTTCAGCAGAAGAAAGTAGACATGCTACGCTTTGTTATATCGGCTTATTCCTGCAGCGCACCTTAAAGGAAGGTGCTGAGACAGTGAAACCAGTTAAAAATATTGTTCAAGATCTGACATACTGTTAAGTCCAGTTAAACCTTCTGAGAGGCAGGGAGATTAGCTAAAGAGACCCAGGGAAGTCTTTCTAGTGCCTACTGGCTCCATTGTCGACCACAAGATCATTCATGACTGATGCTTCATTTAGTCTTCGGTGAGACAAAGAGGACATTTCCACTCATTCCAGGTTTGACCTTCTGTTCTGCTCAGATGGATCAATATCACCAATGCCACGTGAAGCTGAGATGCATGAAAAATGGAAGCTTGGCTCAATTGTTTTGAAGAAAGATTTTTTCCAGCTACAGATCTTTTCTGTTGGCTGGCTCAAGGGTGCTGGCTTCACCGGCTGGTTGGCTGTGCATGGAAACAGATGTCACATGTTTTGCTATCAAGTTTAACCACAAGTTATTCTTCTCCAAAATAAGAAAGTTTTGAACATCTCAATGATACTTTATTATTAGTCCCAACTATCATTGTGAAACACTTTGAAATAAAAAGCATGTCTTTCCTAACAAGCATTTCAAATGACCCCAAATACGGAGGAAATCATTTGTCCATCACGTCAGCTGTCTCTCTGTGGTGTTATGATTCACCACAGGATATTTCAAAAGCTGTAAGGAGAAAGTGAAGTATTAAACATTTTCTAACACAACTGGAATAAAAACATGTGGGTTGGAGCACCAGTGTTGGATTTACAAGTTGTGAATGTGAAAAAACCCTGTGTGAGATCCAGACTTCTCTGCAGTCCACGGTCATGTCTTTCAGTAGGATAATGCTACTCACTCTCTATCAGCAAAACCTCTGCAGGTCTTAGCACACGCCACACTACAACAAAAGGTGTTAGTATGAAGGAAAACTAGGGAAATACTTCCTGAGGAGAGACCCACTTGCTTCAGCATTGATCCATTAGAGTCCAGTGCAGAACTCGGCAAGTCCCAAGATCCAGCACTTAAATTAGTGGGGAAAATGTAAAATACCAACAGCACTTCTTTTAATGGCACACAGCACTGAAACTACACTAAGTAGAAGCGCTGATACAGGGTTTTCATTAACAAAAGTTCAAGATGAACATGTAAGTTCTTTATACATCATTTATTCTTTAAGGGAATCCGTACCTGGAATCTTCGCATGTCTCGCGGGTTGCCTGCATTCTTCAAACAGTTCTGATTGCACTTGAGGAAAAACTTTAGAAAGAATCTATAAAAATACAAAATTGAAATCTATTAGATTCATCAAAATGTAAATCCAATTTTAAGAAAGTTTAATAAAATTTAATCATAAATAGTTATTCCCAAATGAATACCGGCAGTGAAATATGACTTTCCTATTAGTTAATGAACTTATTTTAAAACATAAGATCTCTGTCATAAACAGCACATTATTGCCAGGGAAAGGCAAATTTATATTTTTAATTTTTCAACAACTACAAATGTATTGACTCCAGGCCATATCCTTAGCTCGGTGTGGGAAAGTTGATTTCAATGACTCATTGACTTCAAAGGCAGTGACTTACACCAGATGAGAATTTGTCTCTATTTTTTTAATGCATTTTATTTTTTTCACAACTTGTATTAGCAGTAATGACCTCTATGTCAAAAAATTCCAAGGTAATGAATGATCAATCTTCTGAAAAACACTTGGCTTTGCCTCCGGTTTGGAAACTCTCGCTATTCAAAGGGACTCGATCCAACTCCTGCTGACTCCAGGGAGATCCAGGCAGGATCTGCCCACCGGCAAGGCCCCGGTTCTCTCATTGTTTTTGAAAGGAAAAGAACATGGCAAATTAGGCCCTGTCTTACGACCTTTTCAACCTTTGCCAGCCTTTAACTGTAAGGAGTCACTTACCCGGGGATGGAAATCCAGCTTATTTTTGCTGAGCGGCAACCAGCAATTATTTAGGACTAACCCTTATCATCTAGGCATCTCCCTATAAACCATTTTTGTAGCAACGCTGCCTCCTGGGAACACAGCAAGCACTTAGAGGAAGGGGAAAAGCTTGGAAAGATGCAAACTCTTTTATGCTGCCCTCCCGTACCGGAGGAACGAGCTGATAGGGGATGTCTCCACCCTCCACTCTTCCATCCTGCCCTGACACAGGAGGATGTCCACAGCCTAACACTGCCTCTTTTGTTTATGTAGCTGTGTTTTCATGTTTCACAATTAAATCAATATGTTTTTCAGGTCTGGATTTTGGCTAATGACTGACAGCTAAAAACAAGCAAGGCTCAGGATTTTCTCCTCACCCAGAGTTTCTCAGGTGCTCCAGTCCGGCAGCTCGTGCTGCCCAACTTCATACATGTTGAATAGCGAGGTTATAAAGAGCTTTTACATTTAGAATATGAGCACCTATTATTTATTCATGTCAATCTTTATGAGTGACTGGAACTACTCTGGTTGTATAGACCTCACAGAAGTTACCGTGTGCCAACAGCATTCCTGGTAGGAGGCAAGCCAGGCCCCTCTCCCCTTCTTCAACACCCGACACGGCCCAGCCACGGCTGACAGAAGGTACGACTGAGGCTGTATCACATTGTGCTCACTCCTGCAGAACTTTGAGTGTCAGACAGGAGCATTACAGAAGTATTCCCATATCACAAACTGGTGCTCTTAATCACAGCTCCTCTTCCTCTTCAGTTAAACCTTGAGCAGGACCCTAATATTAATACAGGATGCTAATACTGATGGAACGATCTCTCATATCAGAAAGTCAAACAGGAAACAACTAAGTTTACTGAAACTGTGCATAAATATGTCAATGCTGTCAGTTCGGCATGTGCTGAAATGCACGTTTCTTTAAAACTTACTATTCCAGAATCATGGAATCATGGAATGGTTTGAGTTGGAAAGGACCTTATGATGATCCAGTTCAAACCCCCCTGCCATGGGCAGCAACACAAGATCTGTAAAGGAGGCTTTAGCTCTTGAGCTGAAAGAGAGGCGGATTTCCATGGTGGTTGATGTGATCTCTAGCTTGGATGCTCACTTAAACTCAGGTTTTCTGAGCACTATTGCAGGGACACTATTAATGACTCCACGAAACTCCACCTTTGTTAGCAATACCTTCATCCTAATTTATCTGCCTTGGTTTTCGGGAGGTTAGAGGTTTGGGTTTTTTTCGTGAAGATACTTATGATCTCTAGATTAACTGAGTATAGGCTAAGGGTAATGGCATTTCTGTCATACCTCTAGTCCACCCACAGACTGATGATGTGCAAGGCCCAGCTAATGCATGTCAGTACAGGACCACCAGGCACTGGGGAGTCTGGAGCTGGGACTCCTGCTTTACAGCTCCTTAGTGCCACAGCCAGGCTGAAGAGGAGTATCTTATCTATTATTTTTTTTCTGATCTCAAATGGGTGTTGTGAGGCTTATTGAGCTAATGTTTGTAAATTGCTCGGCAATTCTCCAATGAATTGTGCACAACGAATGCTAAGTATTGCTCCTCATGGATTGTTTTTAACGTGAAGCATTCACGATGAATTGTTTCTATACAGAGAGCTCACATCCTGTCAAAAAAAAAAGGGCCATTAAGCACCCTTTGACTAAAACATCAACTGGAACTGGTATTTGTTCAATTATTTGGTGAAAAGGACCCACTCTTGGTAGAATTAGACATCTTCAAGCTGACTAGGATGACCCTGAGCACTGAGCTAAATAATGAAGCTACAGGCTGGGGTGAACACAAGCAGCATTCGTGTTTCAGCTCTGCCACATTCCTTGATACTGAGGTATTTTATTTCATTTTTTAAATCTGTGTTTTCAGAGAGTTCAGGTGGCATCAAGGTAAGATTTCCAGAGGGACACAAGGTAAGTTTAAAACCATGTTCCCAGGCAGAGCATCTCTCAAAACTTGCCAAGAGAAGACGACTGACTTGGCCATTCCTCTCAGCTGGCCAACAAGTACCATGGGTGCTATGAACGCATCCTTACAGCAGGCATAACAGGGCCAGATATTTTCTCTGTGAGCCCTGTGCTCCCGAGACATCTGTGTGACACAGCAAGAAGCAAGGAGCTGGATCAGAGCTTCACTTGCTTGTGTCTCAAGCTTTGTTGCTACCAACAGATTGAGAATGCAGGCCTTCCTAGACATGGCTCTCCCTGCTATATATTGTATTGTCAGCACAAATCGTAGTCTTCTTTAATAAATACATCCTTGCAGAGTACCCTTCCTAAACACACTCCTAAAACACTGATACGGAGAAAAATGCAGTCTTTGTGATATTCCTTTGCTCTGATTTTTTTCCCCCCGCTGTTAGAAAGGGGACTTCTACCACCTTAATTAAAATGTATTACCTACCACAAGACTTCCCCATTTTAAGATAGAATTTACATCTTTTATTAACTCACCTCACCTATACACTTAGCCCGCGATGCCTCTCAACGCCCATCTGCCAGCCGTATACAGTAAGTCACTTGATATTCCACCCACCAATTTTTCCTAACAACCACTGTGCAATTAAACTCAACACGTTCTGTTGCGAGGTAAATTAGGCACACCTGCGGCCAGACTTCATTTGAACTGCATCAGAAAAGGACCTAACAAGGTGAGAGCGTACCACAAAGTTATAGGCCTGTCAAGCAATTAGGTTTTCACTTCTGGGACATCCGCACAGTGCAATTATGCTACACATTACAACCTGGCTAATCTTCTGAACAAATGTCATGTCTCGGAGAAGCTAGTAAAAGCAGTTCATCTGCAAATGTGTCTGCTCTTAAGCCTCCACCTTATGCACATAACAACCTACAGGAGACTTTTTTTGTACGATATGAAAGATGGTTTTTTTCCCATAGAAGATTTTTTAAACCCTGCAAGTGCCTTTTCATCCTTTTCACCTCTTCTTAACCTTTTTGAGAGGAGGTGTTGGAGCAAATAGACCAGAAAGACTTTCGTACTTGAATTTCAACACTAAGCAAGAAAATACATGATATTACAAGTGTAAGTGGTGACTTTAGTTTGGTCCAGTTTAAATATTGTTTGGCTAAAGGAATATTTGTGGTGAAAAACCACCTATTACATCCTAGAAACACCGTTAGTATTTCCGCCAGACCCCAAAAGACATGTCATTCATGCAGATGATAAACCTCAGCAGAATTCTTTTTATTTCAGATACTGAGCGTGAGTGTCCCAGCTACAACATCCTAAACCAACATCTGCACTGACCATAGGTGAGGTCTGTGGCAAGGAAGTCAGCCAAATCCTGCAGTGACAAGCAACCTCCACGCCTTTATCAGACAAGATCTTCCCAATGTTTGACTCAACCTGGACAGAGGACAGAAAACCGCACCAGCCCTACAAGCACCATTTTGCTTTACTCCAGTAATTCTGTTTCATTTCCATCTATATTTCAGGTATGGGATTAGAGTGCTCAATTAAGCCTACAGATGAGATCTTGCTATGGTACAAATGCAGAAATACATACTGTACATATAGTACAAATACAGAAATGTTAAGCTATGACAAGCCTGCTCCGGTTTCATGAGTAAAAAAGCTCGGATCATTATCTGTGATCCTGAGGTTCTTTGGAAGAGAAGCTGTCTGCAGGGGCACAACACTGCTGTGGGGTGGAGGCAGGAGAGAGCAGGAGGAGAGGAGACATTTGAAGTCAAATGGTAATTCTCATCCTTTACTCGATTACCCTTTAATTGGCTTTTTCCTAAGAAATATCTGACAACCACTTTGCATATCTCTTTTCTAGACCCTAGTAAACAAAGGATTTAATACTCTTGTTATGAAAGGAAAAATCTTTCCTCTGTCAGAAAATCTTTGGCTTTAGCACCAATAAACTCTTTATTACTGCTAAACTTGGATTTGCTGCTCGATCGCAAAGAGGCGATAAAAACTCTAACCTGTCATTAGTGCATTATGCTTAATTGTGTACAGTATGTTTCCAGTTGCATCTGTTGGCCCATTATCAAAATGACCATTATGTACACTAATTCCCTGACCCTGTCTTTATTTCCCTAAAGAGTCATAATCTTTCACAGTAGGTATCAGAGTAAATCAAGCTTGAAATATGGGCTTTATTTACTTGTTTCTCCCAGGCAGAGTGGAAGACTGTAGCTAAAGACAAACTGCTGTAGATAAGTAGCAACTATGTTGTAATATTCTACTTGGAGAAAGGGTGGAAGCTTCTGGGTGACCACTGGAAGAGTAAAAAGCATCACCCCATTTCCTTTTCATTTTGGCTCTGTATAGTT